AAAAATGCCGGTCAAAATTTTATTTGACGAGCTCTTCATTACTGTAAAAAAACAATTTGAATGAGTGAATGAGAAATAAGAACACCAAAGCCAAAAGGCCCATAAAAATTATTTAACTATATATTGTTTATAATAAACATGTGTATCTAATTTGAACAGATTTAGTTCGATTTTCTTTGAATTTTTCAGTCCTCAATAAATGTACTTGTTTATTACATCCTTAATGGCCACTCTGTACATAGACTACTATCTGTTTATGGACTTAATAATGTTCAGTCTTTATGATTATTCATCGTATTGGGTTTTATTGACGGTCGTTCCCATTTCTGTCAATTCAGCATTGCTTAGTACAATTATTTTGCAGTGCTGTACTTGACAAGCAAATTTCGATCAATTGAGACAGTCTAGGACTGTGACGCATTCGTGTATCTACCTACCTAATAAATACGTATGTATGTAGATATCTCGAAGAAGATTCTATTGTTGACATTTTTCATTCGTCAAATATTGTCATCAATCAACAAACAGTACAAAATATTTGAAAACTGTTTGTTGATAAAACTAATATCGATCAAGAGTAAATTTAAAGTCCGTAATAATGATTTAATCCTCATTGTACCACGTACTCTGTATTGGGTAACTACATTATATATAGAAGATCTAAGTGGGTGAATCAGCGTTTGAAGAGTGGTCAACAGCAATCGTTGTGTCCGACAATTAACTTTGTTTCATTACTGTCGCAGTCGTCTGTGTGCTTCCATTCGGCCCCTTGGTGTATAAGGTACTCAGGTATGTGTCACATGTGCGCGTTCTATTTTACCTTCAACTAACGTATACTTTTGTAAGAAGGGTTGTAAAATGATCCCGACATTTTTCTGAAACTACAATTTTACAATATCACTTTCTGAAATTTGGTTCATGTCGATTCAAACTTAAGTTTAAAGTTACCGCCAAACGTGTAGTAAATATTTATACGTAGTTTAGAAGCAATTTTTACTGAAATCTTATGAAAACAGAGCTTTCAAAATAACGGTGGAAGAAAAGGGAACTTTTTTGGGAGTGGAGCTTTCGATGTAAAGTTAAGTTAAGTTAAGAAGTGGCAAAAATAAAAGTCAAAACGAATTTTTGATTAAAAAATTACAAAGAAGACTCGCCCCTAATTACCACAAATTTTTTTTGAGCGGGCACGTATTTCGCCCACTTCATACGTGGGCATTATCAACGCGAGACTGCCCACGTATGAAGTAGTCGAAGCACGGGTCCGCTTAAAAAGTTTTTGTAGTAATTAGGGGTGAGTCTTGTTTTTAACTTTTTAATTAATTATTATTTACCGCAGTCTCCTTTTTCTACTATAAAACGAATTTTTGTTTGTCTCTTTTCATTTGGTAATTAAAAATAATCTTTAGGGCTATTGTTACCGTCAAAGCAAATCAGGCTTAGGTGAAGGTACATTCAATGCCCCACATCTAGAGAATAATTGATAAAAGCTAATTTATGTAGGAATTATTTTAGAAATCGACTGTAAACTTGCTTAAATTTTAGAATTTGTTTGAGGGTCTGTAAGATATTTCAATTATCTTTATTTGTATATTTACCCATTTATCTAACAAATAAAATGATACAAACCGAGATAAGTAGCATAACATAATGTTATCGATGGTAAATAAAAGTAATTGAAAACTTTAGTTAAAGACATTTTTTCTATCGGAACCACTTTTAAAACATGCCATTTGATAACAGCAAATTAACATCAAACATGAAATAAATAAAATAATGTATAGAATTAAAAAAACCTGTTAATGTACTTAAGTACTAGTTATGTAAATTTATATTAGGAATACAGAAAGTCATTTCATACGAATTCAACGCATCGCTTGTAAACAAGAAACAGATTACAGTAATTAAACTGTTACGTATATTCCCTTATTTTATTTAGCAAAGTGGAGAAAACTTTTAAAAGAAAAGCGTACAAAGAAGTTTCTGTTATTAATATTTTGTTTACTATTTTTAGTAAATATATCCATTTTTGAAATGATAACAATTTGAATAATTTAACATCATATTATACTTTTAAATTTTAGTACGCATTTAAGCATATTTTTTTATCAAAGCAAATATCTTATTTCAATAAATTTAATCTTCCTATCGAGGTCGTTAGCACCAAGATTACAGGCACATTCGCTATGGAGTTAATTTCAGAAAGAATTGTGTTTTTAAATAAGAATCTTTTCTTATGGAATTCTGTCAAAGGCTTCGTTCTCTCATAAATATGAAAAAATACCAAAACTAGTTATGATTTGCAATAGCAACTATACTCGCAGCAACGCACATGTGAAAAATATTGTAATAATTTTACTTAACTTTTATTTAAATGACTTTCATCCGAATACGTAATTTTATTTATTACGTACATAGGTGCAACATATTACAATAACACAGGCTTTCACTTACAAATTCACAATAATATTTATTTTCTGGTTTCTAAAAGGAGAAAGCATTTGCTTTAGTTCAACTGATAAAACTTTTAACGAAAAACAGTTCTAAATTTTAATATTATTGCAAAACGAATAAGAAAAATTACCCGCGTAATTACTAAACATTATTAACAATAGAAATATCTATCTAACTAACTCGACAGGCAACAGGTATAAATCATAAAAGTGCTTACTTTTCTCAGAATTCATTACTGCGCGATAAAATCAAAATTGCCATAAAAACATTATTTTTTTAACCGATTTTGTCGTTAGAGAAGGTATAAGCTAAATAGCAAACATAATTTTAAATATCAGTAAATTTACCTAATTCTTGTTTGTACATCTGAAATGAAAATCGATCATGGATTTGTTTCTAATTCCATTTTAACTACGGAATTGTGTTCAAGACCATCAGTTTAATGTAATACGCTAGACAAGCTACATCAAATTTCATTAATCTAAACATTTACCACGTCTGTCCAAAAGTCGGACAATAATTGTTAGTGACCTAGTTTGCGTAGCAGGTATAATGACGAGAAACAAGACGCTCATTACATACTAAACGACTATTGCATCAATTGTTAAATAATAAAGAAACAATTCTGCGGTTTGCTTGTTTACTAATAAACAGTCCTTTTCGGCATGCAATAATTTGTTAATTTATTAATGGAGCGACCAAGGTAAACATAGAAGACTCTTAGTGAATAAAATATTTGTTCTATTAACTGAAATTATGCTAAAAATTGTTATTGATATAAGATAGATTCACAGCTAATAAAAGTTTAGTTAGATGAAATTTATTTTCAATTAGTTCGGTATGGAAAACAGCGCAAAAACTAATTTCTTCATTCGTGTTTCGTTATATTGTTCACAATCCAATGTCACATAAAATATATTGAAAATTTCCTCAAACTACAGTAGAGTTCTATCCCAAACCTCGTGATGGTTCTAAGAAATTTATTCTATTATTTGCTGAAAAAATTTTAATACATTATGCCGTCGTAGTCGGTTCTCAAATCGCCAGTAGTGTACGAGGGTGGATTGATAAGTTTCCGGCCTAACCAAGAGATGACGCCACTAGGCCTACCTTGAGGTGACATTCTATAGTACCATCCTTGGATAGCTTGTAGCTATAGTTTCAGCCCGATCTCCTTGCTAGTGTAGGTTTGACAGCACGCTGAACAAGACGCCTCTGTGGTTTTCGTAAAAATGGAAAAGCAGGAAAATCGTGCTGTCATCAAATACTTTTATTTGAAGGGGTTAACGCCGAAGGAAATTAAAAAAGAGATGGACTCAACACTGGGGACATCCTCCCCGTCATATTCAACCGTTAAGCAGTGGGTTTCCGAGTTTAAAAAGGGTCGTGTGAGCACCTCTGATGGGCCTCGCTCAGGACGCCCCGTTGAGGTCACAACTCCAGATATGATCGAAAAAATTCATCAAATAGTGCTGGGAGACCGCAGATTGAAAGTGCGTGAGATAGCTGAGACCTGTAAGATGTCATATGAACGTGTGCAACATATTTTGCACCAACATTTGCATATGGAAAAGCTCTGTGCAAGATGGGTGCCGCGTTTGCTAACAGTCGACCAAAAATTGATTCGAAAAAACATTTCTACCGCAAATTTGTCATTGTATAAGCGTAATCCAAGCGAATTTTTGCGTCGATTCGTAACCGTTGACGAAACGTGGGTCCACCACTACACTCCTGAAACCAAAGAACAGTCTAAACAGTGGATTGGACCAGGGGAACCAACTCCAAAGAAGGCAAAAACAATTTTTTCGGCGAACAAGGTTATGGCTACTGTTTTTTGGGATGCAAGAGGTATTATATACATTGATTACCTTGCAAAGGGTAATACTATCACTGGTCAATACTACGCAGACTTATTGCAACGTTTGAGCCACGAGGTGAAAATTAAACGACCTCATCTGGCGAAGAAAAAAATCTTGTTTCATCACGATAACGCACCAGCGCACACGTCAATCGTTGCGACGGCTAAAATCAACGATCTAAAGTTTGAATTGATGCCGCACCCTCCTTACTCTCCAGACCTAGCCCCGAGTGACTATTTTCTGTTCCCTAATCTCAAAAAATGGCTTGGCGGTAAGAGATTTGCGGACAATGAAGAAGTAATCGAAGCTGTAAATGGTTATTTTGAGGAGCTTGACGAATCAGTCTATAGAGATGGCATTAATAGACTGGAACACCGCTATGAGAAATGTATCAGCCTTGGAGGAGATTATGTTGAGAAATAAAAAAAAAAAATTTTTAAAAACCTTGTTTTTCTTGGTCAGGCCGGAAACTTATCAATCCACCCTCGTATAAAGTCTACATCGTATTATATTCTTAATATTTGCTGGAAATGTAGTATGAAAAAACTCAACTAAAACATTAAAGTTATTAAATATTTTAAATAATTAAACCCTGAGGAGTCCATCATTTCTTTGAAGTTTTAATATCTTGAATTAGATAAATTGTCTTTTAATACGAAATACATAGAATAAGAAACTTCCAGGTAATTTATTGGAAAAAGTTTTTGATAACTCGGTGTGGGAGAAACAACGAAAAAAGCTTTCAAAGTAAAAAACAAAATGCGACACTTTTTAGTCGTATTTGAAGGTATATAACCTACTACAAAATTAGCCAACAAGTTATAATTTTAGATTTTGTTATTAGTTTTACAAAAACGACAATATTTTCTACGATTTATTGTACCACAGTTCCAACTTTCATTCATACAGTAGTCGTGGCGCCAAAAATATTCCAGATTCATCAAAAGTAACAATAGATCGCTATCATTTTTCAATAGGGAAACCTGTTAAGTAACTTCCGTTTTCAAGTGTCGAAATGTTTTATTAACGAAAATCAGAAATTCAGATTATTCCAGTAAAGCGTCTTCCTGTGTTTTAGAATATGCCATTGTAAATATAATAATCAGTGGGTTTCCTTATGAAAAAATATTGATATTCTTATTAAGTACCACCATAAGTAATTTCCATCATACGTAAGAACAAAAATTACAGGCATTAGCAAGAAGAGAACTGCATGCGATTAAAAACTCTTCATCGCTTTCGACATACATACATATGTATAGTCATGTGATCTACACATTCGAATAATGGTAACTGTTACTAATAATTATAGTAAATCGTACGAAGACAGGAAGCCTGCTCGTTGTAATAATGGACTTGTAAGCAATATTAACAAGGTCATATGGTTAATTCGTGATAGATTTTGTAACGTGTGCTTAGCAACGATTGTTTGCAAATTATTGTCGAATGGTCATTGTTGTACAATATACATGCATACATGCGTACAAACAGCTCGCGATAATCCAATCTGAGCAAACAGACCCGTTATGTCATGAACAACAGTTTTCCAAACAGGTAAAGTACCTACGTCCGTCTACAAACACATATGTGTATTATTATGTTGCATCGATTTTCTTGTACGGTTTACTTCGGTGAAAGTACCCAAGTCTTTTGAGTACCAACTATCACCGGCTTTCTTGCATTTCAGTTCAGTTATCGAGATCGAGTGAAAACAACAATCGTCGGACAGCCACCGGTCATTTTAGTAATCATTTAGCGTGCGCGCGTTATCCGACCCTATTTTGTTTCAATTGTTAGATAGATAAGAAGAAGTTAGTAGCGCAATTGTTTTTCAGGAAAATGTCGTGTTGTCTCGAGTATGGCGAAGATAAGGTACCTTATATTAAAATTAATGATTACGCGTTGAGGTTGGATCTTGAAGAGCTTGACGATGAATTCAAAGATAAAGCCGAGAAGGAATTGAGAGAAACGCCGGAAGTGGTGGAGGATGCTCTCGAACAACTAAAGAAGATGCTGCAAGGTGAGAAGTCGTATTTAGTGATGGCTCATTATAAGTAATTTATTCCCCTTAAGGCTCATTGTAAATTCATGGGAAAGGAAAAGTGTTAGTCGTTTATTGCCATTAATATGTTATTATTACAATACAGGTACTTCCTTTAGGAACTCTCTCTTTTATAGAAGATTAAAAATTACACATTGCTTGTTCGAATACCTAAAGAAAGTAAGCAGTTCTGACCATTAAAAATTCAATTAAACGCAAAATCCTTTAGTTTGTTTACCTGAAACGTTATCACCTTGAATTAAATAAATTCTAATACTTGTTGTATTTTAAGCCTACTGGCAGGATATTAGCAAATATTGCTACCTAAAAGGTTAAATTTTTAATTCAAAAGAGTTCCTACTACTATTCCAAAAATAAATAAATGCAGTGATAATAAATAATTCTGAATTTATTGAAAATAAGAGATGATTTAATAGTTTATCTATACATATACATAAAAAAATATTATTGTATTATTATTTCATTTATTAATTATGAGGATGTAACTTTGTTGCTTTATCGAATTTTTTGAAAATAATAGTTGTTTCTATAATCAAAATAATTAAGGAGATTTTAACTGCAGTTTTATGATTTAACGATTAATTAATGTTCATCATTTTTCGTTATTAATTATGTAGATAAATCAGTCGAACATTTTTCTACCAGTAGTTACAATCACTGGATGGTAAATTGGAATAAAGAATAAACGTAGGTATAGCGAAAGTTTCTTTTTAAGTCTAACGGAAATAATAAAATCCAGAAATTGAGTAATCCATATTCCTCACTAACGTAAACACGATTTCTTCTCATAACGAGCGCCGCTATTCACATTCAAACGGTCGCATAGAAGATTTAGTAATTTAAATCATAATGAACTAGTAAAGATATTTCTTCTCTTACAAAGGAGCGAGGTGCTCCTTGTCCTATTTCTCTAAATTAAACGAGTAAATTGTAATTCACAATCTCGTTTTTAGAATATATTGTCTATAATTAAATATTGATGAATTTCCATGGTCTAAAAATCATTTAGGTACAACATTATAATTTATAACTATGAATTACAAAATCCCTTTTATTAATCGTATAAAGTTTGCAATGACAATAATACACGATATTCTAATCCACCTCTAGCCTTCAAAAAGAAAGGGCTTCTATGACATAATCCTCTTTGATTTATTTTCCTTGTTGTTGGTATCTAAGTCTAATATATGTGTAGTAGCAAACTAATTACTTATAAGCCTACATATATAAGAAGTGAGCTTTTTAAGCTTCTCAATTTGAGTATATTAGACTTAATCCTATTCACTATTACTATGAATACGCTTTGAACAGCATTGAATAATTATGTCGGGAATGCTTTCGTTTCACATAAATTGAAAATTGCCATTGCTTTTTAATCTGTACTAATCAATCTCAGAATTTCTCTCCTAATTTTAAATGCAAAGAGATAAAGACGACCGATTCCTACTTTTTGTTACATCTTTGACATACGATACAGTGATTGTATGGCAAACATACGTAGATAAAAGTTTACGTACACTTAATTAATAAAGTTATAGTGACGGTATTAGTTTGGCAAAATGTTCTAAATCAGTTAGTTATGACATCAGAAAGGTACTAATACACTCCCGTAAACTCAAAAACATTTTATGGTATCCTATGTTGTATATGTTTTTTCTTATCAAAATAATATAATTAGAAAGGACTTGGAGATCTGAGATTTAGTATGGATAGAATAAACTGTGTATTCTCGAATATTACAAGATATTATTAAGGACATTAGCAGCAGAATTTTCCTACATCTAGGCATTCACTCTGTTGATTTAATTATCTTCTCAACGTTGTGGTTGAATAATGCATGCGTCTCTATTGACTATTACATCATTAAACAGTTGCGAACAAATAATCATATTCTCTCGTCATTTACATTAGATGCTTTCATCTACACTCGTCACTTTACTAATTGATTATAGTTCTCGCCGCCACTATTTTGTAGGTATACTGAAGTGTTTTTGGGCTGTCGATGTAACTGCTTTCGCTCAGGCATCTTCTCAAAGAGATATATAACTGCTTATAATTTTACTCGTAATTCCCGAAAGTAACACTTCTAATTTCGTCTATTTTTGCCTTTTACAGATGAAAAAGAAAAGGGTCTATTCATACCTTTCGAAGATGACAATTTTTTAGTTAAATTTCTAAGACCTTGCAAATTTTACCCCGACAGTACGTTAAAATTGGTAAGAAACAACTATTTTCGTTTAATGCAAACATTCGAATAAAGTTTCAGTTCTACGTTTCTTTTCGCTATGTTAAATAACATTTCTATTTATTAAATAATCTGTAATAGTCTTTAAGTACCTTTACGCTTGAGTTGCAAAATTCAACATTAAAAAGTAATTTTTTATTGTGCTACACTATTAATGCATGTGTAAATATTAGAAAATATGTTTAATGAGTTTCTTCATTTCCATTCTTTGTATTACATCATCGGTTTAATACAAATAGGTACATTAAGTTTATTAAAGTTGGTAGACCTTTTATTATTTTAATGAATTATTATTTAGATCCAAAAGCACTATAAGTTTCGTACGAAAAATCCAAAATATTGTACAGATTTACTACCCGATAAAGTTGCTCATGTTTTCAAAGATAATGTTATCCAATTTTTACCAACAAGAACACAACAAGGATCAAGGATAATGGTGATAAACGCAGGAGGTGAGTTTTTGTGGCGCGTTTTCCCTTTCCATCGTCAGTGTCATAAAACAAGTATTTTCTTGTATGTTGCAGAAAAATGGAAAGTTAAAAACGTTACGTTACAGGACTTATTTAGGTCAGTGATGATGGCATTAGAAATAGCAATGATCGAACCAAGAACTCAAGTTGGAGGCGTGCATGTTGTGTTAGATATGATCGGATTATCTTTAAATCATGTATATCAGTTTACACCCTACTTCGCTAAGATGGTTCTAGATTGGGTACAGGTAAGAAAAAATTATTATCAACACCGTCATAAGGTCGTTGGACTGAAGACTAGATTACTTGGAAAGGCACCACCACTCCATCCCGTCCTTAGTCAATCTTCGAATTTCTCTGACACTTAAGTATCCCTCATCCCTAACTGTTTGCGACCAACAATCAAATCTGGTCCTTCCTAGTCTTTATTCTCAGGAGACCAAGACCAGATCTAATACCAAGACCAAAACCGAGACTATATCAGTAAGGCCAAGACCAATATCAAGACTGTAACAGTCTTCGTCTTAGTCTTTACTATTGCCTCCCTAGCTCCTTCTAAATATCTCGTTTCCAATCATTTCCATGAACTATTTCACCATCCGCCTGCAGTACCTTCTCATAACACCACTTCAATACACTTTTGAGTATTTTTTAACGATTTGATGTAATACTTACAAATAGGATAGCGCTTTAGTATCTTTAAATAAAATAACTCAGTTATTACATAACTAGAAAGAAGAATGTTACTGCAAACGTTGTGGGAACTAATGTATACTAAAGACTGAAATTCTGAATTTATAGACTAAATTATTTTATTACTAACTTAAATACTGTACAAATCAAAATTTATAATCTATTTTGAATGAATAAAGGGGAATAAGTTTCTAATCAATCATTAAATTGACTGAATTATGACTAGATTATGATAGTGATAATGTTTTGGCATACAGTGGTCTGAACAAGCAGTTTTTTATCAACCTTTTTAATGCTGTTTAAGTGTTTGCTAGTTCTAATGTCTATTGCTCCAGGTACCTATTTGACTTAAAAATAAATAGCATCACAAATTTAATTAATTAATTAAAAGTTTAATGAACAACCAGAGAATTAGAAACCATTTTCTCCATGCTCATTTCAAATAGATTATAAATTGTAATTTGCATAGTGCTTAAGTTGGTAGCATGATACTTTTGATAATGGCCACATTGATGGTATCGATATTTTACAAAACACTCAAGTAATTGGTAACTTTTAAATTAAATGGAATTAATTTTACACTTAATAGATTGATTTAAGTAGTAAGTATTTTATTTTTTATACTTGTTTATACAATCCAGCATTGAGGAATTACAATTTATGGATTAAATTACTAAACCATTATTTCTCTATTATACTTTTGTTTCAAAGCCATTCAAGCAAGTTTTTGTACAACTAATTCTTTAATCTTTTACGTGAACTACGGCCAATTTGATAATTGTCTTTATAAATATTTAATGTTCTTAAACAAAATTGTTGTAGACTTTACCCTAGTTGTTTAACAACGGAAAATTTTTGTTATGGACCTATTAAAATACGTAATACATAAGATTGTCACGGAACCTACATCTATTTGTTTTTAGTGCATACATACAAATTACACATTAACCTTGCAGTTATTTACAATGCAATTATTTTTGAAAATCAATATTTCGTTAACAGTAATTGAGAAAACATAGGTCCCCATTTATGTCTTTGTTGCATATCGATATATCAATACGTAAACTTAAAAAATATTTTGGAAGTTTTTGCGGTAATATTTCCAAGAATTAATACGGATTCTTTCAGGAATGTACTCCAGTCAGATTAAAAGGGATACATGTAGTTAATCAGCCTTACATTTTCAACATGCTTTACAGAATATTTAAGCCATTTATAAGGGAAAAATTACGAAAGAGGGTAAGTTACAGAATTTTAATATCAATATTGAGTGTTATTTATATGAGTAAACTTTATAACTGTCTATTATAATTGCGACGCTTGGTTTAAAGGAATCATTTGGGGACTATTAACAGACCGAAAGCAATTAAAAGACAATTTTACTATCAGGTGATAATAAACTCATTTGGTTAATTATTTATAAACATTTTTTTTTAAAATTAAAGAAAATTTCATGTTAGATGTATAGATTAAAAATGTAGATTTATCTTTACTACTAACCATGAACAATCTTTATAATTATTAGAAAACACCGCCGGCAATCAATACACCTCAAAATTTTCAATCTCGAATTCAGTAATCATCTTGAGTAATTATTGATACATTTCCTTTTTTACTTTTAAACTTTTGTTTGTACAGTAAAGTAAGACTAAAAGGACTTAACGTTCAGAATCTATAATAAAGCCATCTTATTTCTAGACCATATTCTCAACTTTGCATTTAGGGTGTTGATATTAATGAGACTTATAATCTAATTAAAAGGATTTTAACGGAAATATGGTAGGTACAGTAAAATCAAAATAATAAAATAGTTGCTAGAAAATAATAAAAAGTGGAATAGGTGGAAAGAATGTTTAGAGGATTTATCCGCAGGACAGGAAATATACTAAAAAAAAAAAATAGGAGAACAGGGTACGCTATATAAATAAAAAGTGCTATAGTGTGGTGGACGCGATGGGTTGGTAAGAAACTTCCTCGGGAATTAAGGGTTGAAAGACTGGTTAGAGACATAGAAGCAAAAGCGGGAGTTAAAAGGGGCAGTTGTAGACCTAGATTAGACTCTGTTCGCCGGTAGTTCCTCTAGTTTTCAAAACATGTATATATTTTCTGAAGATAACGCACCTCCACTTTGGTGCCTGTTCAATCATCTTCAGGCTGAAACTTTTTGATGATGGTGAGAGTATTGGAATCATATTTAATTTGTTTATGAAAGTTTGAAAAATCATTAAAATCCCGGGTATGCACATAATTTACTAGGACTTGCTTGGCTAGGACGTATGTAATTTAGCTTTAATAAAAGATAAAAGAACACGGAAACATCTAAATGAAAAAATATAATGTGAATGAATTAATTACTACATACATATGTATATTTGTATACACGTTGAGTAACCAGTAGCTCGCTTTTGAAAACGGAATGTTATATGGCTAACAAACAGAGAAGTGAACTTTCATGCTCCAATTACTAGAATCAATGTTTCTTCTTAATACGAAATAATTATTTCTATTTCGTACTGACTTGCGTAATAATCCTCGCTGAAAATTCCTGTAGGCATATACAAAAATGAATGACAATCTCCATTTGGTTTAAATTTTGCTAACTTCATTGCTATGGATATCAAAAATAATTAACAAACGCACGTATGTCATTGTTATTAATCCTTATGGGTTTTTAAATAGCTTAACCTAAAATTACCCTATTGTTCCATACTATAAAATTATACAATCTACAAAATCTAGCATATTCTTTTGTGTATACTCTTGATGGACTGAACAATTTTTTATTTCCGTATCGAAATATTTTTAAACCTTCTGCAAAGAGTATATTCAAAAACTTATAGATTCATTTTCATGGGACCAACTGGAACAATTTTACTGGAATTCTTCCTGCAAAAAGTTTACCAGATTATTACGGCGGAGAAATGGCAATAATGGAATTTCCTGGACACCTGTTGGCCGAATTATTGTGCTTATACAAAGAGGATTTTGCGCGTACGTATTTAGAAAATAGACAATTTTTAAGTTCCAAACTTTTAAAGGTGTAATTTACTGGAAACACTACTTACAAATAGGATTTTACAAATGTTTATAACATGTTTTTGGCTTTGGGGCTGTTCGTAAATTATTTAATCCTGTTTCGGGCAAAGGGGTTCCAGTTCTATGGGGGGTCAAGTTTTGCGTGATGTAACCGTTTCAGTCCAATAGTTGTGTATAGAAAAAAAAAACATTTGGGTGTTTCATTCCCACCAACCAGTAATGTTGGTGGGCGGGCAGTCTCTCCGGACTACGCCGGAAGGCCCTCTTCAGCCTGCTTTCAGGAATCGTGGGAATGGGTGGGTGGTGGTTCGGGTGAGAAAGTTGAGACGGACGAAATGAAGACAGAAGAGAATGAAAGATTATCTGTGGAATATTACTGCCCCAGCGTTTGCCTAAGTGATCCGAGGAAACCACAGAAAAACTTGGACCAAGGCAGACGGACCCGGAATCGAACCGGCGTCCTCCCGAATGCAAAGCAATGATCTAAACCTCTAGGCCATGCCGCTCGGTGTGTATAGAATGTACGGAACATTTACGGAGTGAATACGGAACGTATAGCGAGAATCGATTTTTACAATGCACGCATTACGTAACAGATGGGAAAGGGAGGAAGGGTAATATTAGACGTTATGGTCCTGATGCCTAAGCGGACAGAAGCTAGTCAAAATTGTTAAATTGGTAATTTATGAACAGCTCATTCTCAAAATGCATAGGTGTTAGATTACACGAGCCCTTTTCTGAAGTAAACTGAATATTTAACAGAATATTTTAACTAAATCGTGTAAACTATGTTTCAGTGGCTAACTCATATGGATACAATAAAGGACATAATGACAAAAAGATATGAATTTAAAGGACAGACGCCAAAATACAAATACAAAGTAATTATTAGTTATAAAATTGTATTATAGTAGATACAAGGATGTAAATAAAATTTCTATAGAATGATACAGTTAAATATTTTCGAGTTAAAATGAAATAATGTAGGTTTTTACGGTATAGAAATAATTTTTTACATATGTACCTGTTGCTTTTGTAATTACTGGGAAAGGGATGGAAAAACAATAAGTAACTATTTTGTATAAATATTTTTAGAAGGCGCTGTAAATAAATACATAGTAAGTAGATATACATCTATTAATAATCAAATTTAATTTTACTTACACCATATTATATTCCATTTTGATTGATGTATACATGTAAAAGATGTTTCAATGTTAATAGTCTCATTGTTCAAAGAGAACTGAAGGAAATACATTTAATATTAATTTTTATATTTGCTAATTTGATTTGTTTTTAATACTTTTTTTTGCAGTAACACAGCAGCTGAGAAAAAATAATTTTTATAAAACTACCAATCGTAAGTATTACATGGTGTCTTATTTCTTTTCTTATATTCAGTGCAAGTGAATATACAAACCTATTAGATAAAATCTGTTCGTTCTACAGAAATTTTTGAACGGTAGACCAATATAATATCCTTTCAGTACATTTATATTGCAAAATATGGTTGAACGATTGCAATTTGTTAGAAAGATACACAACCTACGATACCATTTCATCAACCCTTCGCAGAAATTAATCACTAAATTTGAACGTTAGAAGCCCACCAACTTTCTAGGGCTGAACCTTAGTGAAGACGGATATCCTAGGGTTTCCCAATGCCTCATTCGATAATTTTCCTCAATATAATAACTTTCTTTTAATTACGTGTGGACAATGCCACGATGAACCTTTTCAATGTTTTCAAATTTTCTATACATATAGATACATATACCTTTTATTTTACTATCTTACAATCATCACTACATATGCATAACACCTACAAGAACAGACCTTTTCACAAAAATATATATCTTTATGGCGCGTGTTTTAGTCGCTTGAATTGTGTGGCCAGTCGTCCCGCACTCTTTTTTAATAAACGAAAAGACTTCGGAGAGCTTTAGACAGTATTAGGATCGCTCAGGTATCTGGCACTAATATCCGAGGCTAGCGATACACTGCGTGTGTAGTGTAAGCAATCGCTTAAGCTTCGGACCAGGTACTTAGTATCCGAAACTATCCCAGGGGGTAACGTTCACCCTTAAAACTAACGTAAACCTGAACCGATTCCACTAAATGTGAGAGCTTTAGTAAAAGATTTGGAAAAACGGTACATGTATCTGCGACCTACACAAATACTCCTTTCTAACAACTAAATAAAATTTTTAATCTACTAGGTGAATTAGAAATATGAAACATGGATAAAGATAAGATATCGAGAACATGATAAGATATTGACACCATTTGCAAAATAATCTGCAGTGTTCCAAACAATTGGAGCATTTATTAAGTAATTTAAATGATTATCCAACTAGAATTCCAGACTGATTTTTCGTGGAGCACAGGTAGCAGAAAATATGCCCGAAATTATGTGTTGTCACCTAATTACGATTAAGATCGAAGAAAATAGATTAATGAGTTTTAAAATCCCAGAAAATGTTGAATAGCCTACATAAAAATAGTGCCTATAAATCGCAGTAAAAATTGTTGAAAAAAATGACGTTAATAAAATTCAAAATATTAAAATAAAGAATTTATTAAAAGTACAAAAATATCAACAACATATCCCTTTATCCTTTCACTAATTCATTTACAAAAATATAAGCCTCTAGCTTAAATACTACATGTATATCTATAATAACCAACATTAGTAGGTAATAGTATTTAAAATTTGATTGCAACTTTTGATTTATTATACAAATTAAATAATTAAATAACAAGTAATATTAAAATTGCAAAATATAAACCACTAGCATATTTAAAATAATAATCTACCATAATTTCTTAGTTTAAGTACAAACTGTTCACTAGAAATAATAGGAAATACTATGCGCTGGCCAAATTTCTTAGGATATTAACTAAATAATCAAACTGATAGAAATATTTTAGTTATTATGTTGCTGTTAAAACGAGATACTCGTTAACAAAAGGTATATTATCTGATAAAAACACATGAAGCATGTGTTACCTTAAATGTACTTCGACAAGTAATTGGCTATTTTATTTTTTTTGTTTATAAAGATAAATTGTGCATAACGTTGCTTGAGCACCATTAACTTATTCATTTCTTCGTGCGCTTTGTTCATAGCTAATTCTTCTTGTAACCGTACGAATTGATTGCTAAAAGAAAAGAATTGTTTAAAAATTATTGAAATAATGAATCGAATCTTCGTGTTACTTAAAAAAGAAAATCCTTTTGGAAATCTAATCAGTTATAATGGTTATGATTAATTAGCGAAAAGGGAGTCAGTCTGCCACAACCATTTCGTGATAAGATATTGAAATTAAATATTTAGTTTTCTAGATCACATGGTACCTATATTATGACTATGGGCCAGTTTAAAGGTACTTTTTAATTGAAAATATTTCCGAAAAGATTCAATATCAGTAAGGTCCAATTTCCGCCATAAAATAATTTAATTTAAAAATTATATTGGCAAAATATGGATTTATTTTATACATTAAAATCTGCAAGTAAATAACCTTAACAAAATACCATTACAAGGAAAAAAAAATGATGTAATAATTTTGAATTAGGTCAATAGACACATAATTTTCTTCAAAATTATGAACTTCTACAAACATTTCTTCGTATGTCGTATTAAGTATATAGCACAAGGCAGAAGCAACTAAATATTTAAATATATTATGCAGCGATATAAAAATTTTAGGTCGAAAACTTAATTTGCTTCTTGTATGTGTTATATGCACATGAAACACGATGTAGAAAATGAATAATTTTCACGAAAATCAACCTACTTTAGCGCGCCATTAAAAAATATTGCATCATATTTTTTCCTTATAGTGCTATTTGGTTATCACGTTGATAGTCTATTTACAGAATGTTTATGGAATGGATAGTCTATTTACAGAATGTTTATGAATATTTTTTCAATACTATTCTTCGCAGAAATTACGGGTAAAAATTTAGATATCCTTAGCAAACTAGAGCGGGCTGAAAATTTTCCGTGTCAAGCTGGTGCAGCAATATTCATAGTATAAAACCATTTAAGTGTGTAACTAAGAGACACTTAACATTTACCTTAAATTGACAATTAATAGTAGCACTGTATGTGATAAGTATACGCGATAGTATCATATAAAACTGTTTAAAAAAAAATGCCACTCAAGAATAAAATTTCCTTAAATCGTTGGGCAGATGACTAATGAATAAAGTAACAATTAAAATAATTAGCAAATCCGATCAAATGAAAAGAAATCTTCAACACTAAGAGGTAACTGATGCGAGTAAAGAGTGTGCTGTCTAACTAATTAAATATTTTAATCTTCATTTTAATTAAATAAATTGCAATATAATACATAACTAAAAAAATATTATGTGCTATCGGCTTTCGGAATGTTTGTTTCCTATCAACATACACTAGATAGGTACCTATTAATGCAAAACCATTCGTAATTTACATACATATCTAACAATAAAACATTTAAAAAAGGACATGACCTACCTTTAAATTCTTGGTCACACAACAATAAAAGCTCCAACCATTGTTTTCCATCAATTCGTGGAATTTCCAAGGTCCCACCATAGCATTCTGGTAAGCATTTCGGTGCCATATGCTTGTGCAATGATTTACGGTCAGTGCCATGGAATATAATACGACTCTTTAGCTTTTCTCGTAAAAATGGTTTAAATAGGGCAAATACCATGTTAAACACATAGGGCTGGTTGACGATGTGAATATTCTTTATTCGAAGGGGTACACTGTCCTGAAAGGGTGCAATTTTTAATTTAAATGTACGGTATTTACTATACTTATTTCGTTTGAGTGTGGTAAAGTGTGAAGACCGAATGTATTGACATTATAATATATTGCATTGATTTTTAATTAAAAATTTTTTTTTCATTTTTATTGCACTCCATACCAAGATTTTGATCGAATAAAATTTAAAAAAAAAAACCTAAAGTAATAAAATAAAAAAATGCACATTGCAAATGAACCTGTTCAGTACCTATCACTCATGGTCAGTAATTACTCTCCTATAGGTTGCATAATCAGTAATTAGAATGAAATTAAAATGTTCGTAATACACATAATTGCAAGTTGCACAACCACATCGTTCATTCGGTTTTTAATTCAGGTTGACATCGAATGGCAAAAATTGACATGATTAATACCTTAACAAAGGCCGAATTCTTTATTTTAAAATTTGTTTACCTTGCACCGAGTAAACTTGTTTACAATGACCTTTTTGTTTAAGAAAGTGGAACAGAAGTGCATGTTCATCAAAAGCAGCTTCCGATGGACTGTTGACCTTTTTTGCTATTAAAGCAACTGACACCAAAAGAATAGCCTCTCACGAAAGAAAATAAAAACAGTCTTTATCGCGCTCCAATCAATTATTTTAATTTCAACAGAGTACATTTAATAGACTCAGGTTAAATGGAAACTACCATTTAATGAATCTGTTATAAAACATGTTGATAATTATCATCATTAACCTACTACCTAATGTGACGACCATTAAAAACCACGAACATATTTTTTAACTTATCATATATGTAGGTACTTTTACCACACAAAATTTCTATCAGTAAATGCCTAAAAAAATTAATTTATTATAATACTAATGTGAAAATTCATTTAATTTTTATCCACTACAAATTAATGAGGAAAAATTGATGCTGCTGTCTTATTCTCGCCAGGAACCGAACCCGGGACCTTTGGCTTTACGCGTCAATGCCACAACCAGGTCGCATTAGTTCGGTGGATCATCAGTAAAGCNTTTCACATTAATATTAAATATTAACCACTATTAAAATTTTCTTAATGATGTAAATTTATTATTTTTAAGAACAAATTAATTATATTGATTTAGGGAAATTAAAATTTTAGTTTTCAATTGTAAATTAACTAAACTTACTTGGAGCCAGTCTACTATTCTCTTGGCAAAAGGTGGTGTAAACTGCCACGTTTGTTGAAGGGTGAGTCCATCCATATCAAAAATAACCACAGCCCCAGCCACCTGTGTTGCAGGTTCCAACATGGCAGCTTCCAAAAATAATACACAGCCCTTAAACACCTCGTCCAAAGTACATTTTTTATGATTCCATTTTTCTAAAGAAAACGGAAACAATTATTTTATTTTATTTTTACTGCGTCCCACAAGGCGCTTCGTACATTTCAACATGTAATTGTAAAAATAAATTGCTTTAGAAAGTTAAAAAATCAGCATAATCATAAAACGTATTTGAATACATATGAGATCTACAGCAACGAAATTGCGACATTTACAAGTGCAATGGCTAAATATTTATTGCAAAGTCTAAGGACACAGACGATCCACACAAACAGCGCAACGTGTCGACGCATATAAAGACTCTTAAATTATAAATAATTATATTTGAGGCCTTCAAATTTTTAAGAGCCTTCAGAAGCAGTGTGAACCTTTGGGTGCCTGCTTCTTTGTTATAAGTGGTTAATGTACAACTGCACTTCCATTATTATATATATAAAACGACAGATATTATGAGTGATTATAATCAAAAGACAAATAATAACCTTAATTTGTTTTTTTAGGGAAATTTGATGTTGAAGTTCAACGGCTTCTCATTGTCATATACAATCGAACACGAAATCTTTTCTGTCTTCCCTTGGCATACATATTGTTTTAAATTTATTTCAAACTCATTAACTTAAATTTCTTCATTTCTTTTACTTGGATTCTTTAACTGAAGATTGTACATTATAAATCGTCTCTTTAATTTGAATTTCTTTTAATCTTCTTCGAAAAAACCGGCGACGGAGATAATTAATGGCTTGAGTTTTTACGCAAACGAAGTACTTATATTGTTTGAAATCATGATCCCGAATTGTAAGGGTTATTAGCGGGATTAATGGCTTTTCAGCAGTAATATACGTGTAATCGCTGTCTTCGAAACAAAGAATAAAAAGTTTGACGCTAAAACAGAAAATTTTCTTTACTCAAATTTTCTCTAACCCTAACATAACTGGTTCGAGTTAGGGAAGTTTGTTTATAATTAGTATAAAATACCCAAAGTGAAAATGAAATAAAATTTGAATAATTAGGGAAAAATACTGACACATGTTTTACCAATTATCATCAGAAAAGAAATCATTCAAATTTTCCGTAAATTTTTATTTTTAATGGCTGAAATTTCTTTTCTTTTTTGGCTTTTTCGGATAATTAAGGCATGTCATGTATATAATACATAAGGTACCAAAATACTACGTACTACAAATTAAAATTGAGTTTCTTATTTAGGTACTGAATTGTATACTCACTTCCTAATTCTATTACTAATATCCTCCTGCCGAATTGATCCCTGTTGGGCTGAACTGTGAGAATATTTTGTTCAAAAATGTTCGTTTCCCTGCTTGGCAACAAATCGTTGTAGACATCGGAATGCTTAACTTTGAAAGCGTAATATCTTTTTATCTATAAAAAAAAGGATTAACAAAAAAAATGGCAAAATTTACCTAAAATTTTCTTACCAAGTCGTATGCACTTTTAGGGTAGAATTTACAAGGACGAAGGAATCTTACAAGCCACGCATCGTTATCGTAAGGAACTTTTAATTCCTTGTCCTCTGAAAAAACGAATTTTACAAATAAATAAATTGCAATTAAGGCATTAGCATTCCTGTTATATTTATTTCTACGATTTTTTGTAATATTTTTATAATGGTGAGATGTTGATTCGACGCATTTGGTAAATGAATAATTCATAAAATACAATATTTTTCAGAATTTCAGATTACGAAACAAATATTAAACATTTACAACCAAATATAAAAGCATTCAAATTATTATTGTTACATAACACTTATTGCTAATAAATCATACTGAAAAAACTATTTTACGATAATTCGATCTTAACCGGGTGCTTACAAATGTGTTATGATATAAAATTCTAGGAATAAATTGTTTTAAAAGTTCTTCCAAAAATTTTGTTTACATTTATTTTAATAATATTATCTTCTTAATTATAAAAGAGTTCTTTGTTCATTATAGATCCATGTTGAGTAAAAGTTTTATCATTTTATGTCTATCTAAAGCTGAGTACTGAGAACGTTCTACTCATACGTTGGTGCACATATTCAGTTCAAAGTCACTGCATTTAAAAAGAATACAAGTTTTTAATGTCACGGACAAATTCAACGATGCTTGAAAATGAGTGTTAACCATTAATTTTACCTTTAGAAATATTTTAAAGACGAAAATAATTACCTATATTTATTATCTGATCATAGATTGACTTTAAAATCGCAACGTTTTTGTGCAAAAAACATAACAGAACGCATAAATGTTATGAAATATTGAAGCATTAAAAATTCGTTGTCAACCTTCGACTTTGAATCTTATAACATTAATTTGAGAAGATATTAATAACGTATTTCGCAAAAATAAAAAAAAACATGACCGCTTTTTTTTGTTTTCAAACTTTTTGGTTTGGTTGAAGCTGATGATGGTTGGCATATACTACTGTAACTTCATAATTTTACTTAATTTATTACTTCATCAAATAGCATTTTCAATGCAATCAAGCACAGATGCAGTTAATATGACTGTAACTTGTTAAATTAACTTGAACACCTCAAACTGATTCCAGATGTTGTAGTTATATTGGTTTGAATTTGTGATATTAATTTTACTCAAAACTCACAAAAGAAGATAAAAAATTCCACCATTTCGACAATTTATTAGGTGATAAGTAACTGCTTTAGATTTTTATGATTAGCAAATCTGCTATCAATCAAACTAGTCTGCTTCATTGATGTTCGTTAAGGCTCATGAAAAGAAACGGATTATAAACTATGTTTATCTTATGATTACGGTATTATACCAACCATTATTAAAGATACATTTTAAAAATTCTTTTGGTATGTAAGTATAAAACTGCTAAAACTAAATCACAGAAAATATGAATCATTAGTTTTTACTGTAATAAACACAATCAAGTATTTGTTTTTATAGGTTTTATATATTTATTTTATAGATCAGTATCAAAAATTCGATATCCTTATTTGTCTAACGCAATATTAAATATTATCTAGGTAAATACTCTTCTTCAGAAAAATACATTGTAGCGCGTAACCAAAATTTTTTTTTATGGTATAGTAAAATGTCAAGATATTACTTTTGTAAATCAACCTGCTTATATTTACTAATAAAACATTTTTCGGAATTCCACATAAGTAGTTATAGAGACGCGTGCCCTATAAAAACACAACAAGAATCTCTAAACTCTACAAGGAGCCAACAGTAGTGGTCAATTTTGTGTTCAATGTCTACAATGATTCAGCTTATATAATAATTAGCATATAGATACGTGTACCCTCCACTGTTTACGTTAATGTTGGTGTAATTTACATAAAACATAGAAAAGGTTTAGTTAAGCGAAATAAAACGGCGTCTAAATTGTTATTACTTTTGCGAACAGGTCTGTTACGTTCAACTTCTAGTAAGAAAAACGACTTTTATGATAGTCAAATGTCTAAAATGTACAAAATAAAATCGACGCTAATAATTATAATAAATATAATGTATTTAATATGTATGATTCCACTAAATGTGA